CATTAACATTCATTCATTCGATATAGAAAAAAGAATTTAGAGTCTTATACATCTGTTTCATACATCCAGAGAAGATCAATTATTGCAATCTAACACCTTATCTTCATGATGAACATGATTTTATCTTTTACATCGATCCTTAACTTCTCTTATTTATGTAGAAATATACCATGTAAATTGTGTTTACGTGTCACAGTTGATTCGACACGCAAGAGCGTGTTGTTCTGCGTAGGAACATTTTTTACAGGGGCAGGCTACTGACAAGTAAGTAGATGCTACAAAGGTATCATAAACCTCCCCTGAAGTGAACATTTCCGAAATATATGGTCGATACAATTAACTTCTTTACAAATACAACATTTCAGTTTAGTCCAATGATGTCTGGTGTTTTTTTTTAATTACAGATCGTGAGGCCATTTTCAATATTGGATTATCTGAGGATTTCTCACTCACCCGATCAATACAAAAAGGAAGGACGAAAGCTACCGATTGACAAGAGATGCTTAATGGTAACAGTTAACTTATATTTCATTTTAAAACTAAAATGTCTGATTTCAGAGAATTTTAATTCAACGAAAAATATTGAAAATATATGCAAAAGACTAGGAGGAATCCCCTCCAGATAATAGAAAAAGCAATTAAGTGAAACAGATTCGTCTAAAATCCCAATGAAACATGTCTACAATGCTTATCCGTGAATAGAAAGCAGTATCTGAAGTTTTGTGAATGTGAGGTAAATTTTTGAAGTCCTTGATATTCCTGTCAGGTTTCCTTTGGTTTTTCAATGGTTATATGTAGGAAAAATCATTAGACAAAGTTTTGAAAGGGTAGAAAGAAATAAGGTAGTCAATGGAGGTGCTGAATTCAAAATTCATTTCATCCATTGCTTTTGGCGTCAAAAGATACATAATGTAGGACATTATGGGAAAGATGTTTACACTGGCCACCGATTATCAAGATTAAAAGTGGGATTACATATCATTTTTTAGTGCAGATGTATGTTCATTGTGGTCAATATTATGATGTATGAAGTGACAGATTGATTTAAAAGATAAAGATTTTTAAGTATTGTATGCGGTAGGCACAGCGAAAAAAAAATAGTTTCCCTCAATGTTGTAAGACAGAAAAAACCTCGTGCCGTGCCCCAAACAAGGGAACTGACTTTCTGATTTTGCAATCTCATCCATCAATGTATCAAAAATCTTACAGTTCAGTAGAATAAATTCATTGTTGAACAAGAAAAATATTCCACATCTCGTATAAATCCCGGTAGGTAAAATCCATCAATGAAAAAGGTCTTAAGTTACATTAATTCAAAAAGAAGAAAATGTAGTAAAACAAAATGTTTAAATTCTTTCGAAATAATTCAAGGAAAATTCCTTGTTCTCTGTCTAATTTGGAATACTTAAATGATGCATTATAGAGTATTTCTCGAAATTTCAAATTAATGAAGGGTTGACTACCTACGAAGAAAAGGCGTGATATACGTTGTAGATTCTGAAAATCTCACTAGATTGTCCAAGATGTTGTTGTCTAAGTTGAACTCCTTTCAAGCAATGTCATCCTATGTTGCTAAATTATCTCATTTTTCTTTCACGTTTTATAGGATTATAATGTGTAATTATATACAAATATTGTCTAGGGTTGAGGACGACATTGATTGTGTTAGCCCCAAGGGATGAAATACTATCCGACGCGGAGAGGAGGACAATATTTTCGTCCCGAGGGGGCAAACATAATCAATGTTACCAGTAAACACAGTCAATAATTGTTTTGTTATAAGAAAAACAAATCAATAAAATAGTATTTTGATTTCATTCATTAAAATTCAGCAACTCATTTCTATCGAATGCATTATCCAGCAAGCTGATTAAAATGCTAGCGAATCTAATAAAGTTGCCTTGATTGTGTTTCTTGTTTTTTTTTTTTATTGTGACTTTATGTATTTTGGAAGTCGCGATGGCATCATTACGTCAAAATAAATCAATATTCTAATCAGAAGCAAAATCAATAATGTTCTGGGAAATCTCTCTTTTTCGGTCAATAGTAAAAATGATATGACCGTCAATTTTTTTCGAAGGAGCTAATATAAATTATGTTGACTGTTTCTATAAAATGAGAATATAGAGACTATTCTTTAAAGAATATAACACTATGACTTTGAAACAGTCGTGTCTAAATGCAGCAATAAAAATTCAAATGTTAGGTCAAAGCTATATGTACATGAAATATGAGGGTAACGAACACTGATCATGATTAATAAGTCCATTTAAAAATACAAGTCGGGAGCAGAGCCAACACAGGCCTCTGAAAAACAGAGATAGGCTCAGATGCAATTGAAGAGTTAGCATCCCCCGTCGACCTGTCATGACTTGTCTTGATTGGGTGACCGGAGCTATACGCAAACAATTCAGTAAGAAATTTTGTTTTGTAAAAAGGTCCGTGAACAATCGACTCAACGACATATTGTATTTGCAAGGTGGTGAAGTATGTGCATTGTTTTTTTTAGAAAAAAATATTTTTATGACATCTTTTAGGGGTAAATCAGACTCATAACTGATAATTTAATTAATCTGCAATATGGATACAATTTCAGCATACTTTGCGGAGGAAAACTTAACAGAAATGGCCTTTTCACTCTACAATTCAATAAACTTGACATTGTCATTTACCTAATTGAGAGTTATCTCTCATAACTGAGTTTGATGCACCTTAAAGGGACGGTACTGAGGGTTTGAGGGAGATACACTTTTAACTGACTATATGAATGGCGATTCATTTTGAGAATCATTGTGATATATATATATATATATATATATATATATATAAATATATATATATATATATATATATATATATATATATATATATATATATATATATATACAGACCCTAAAACGTGCTACTACACCACTTGCACGGTTTAATGTACGGTACGGTTCATTTTTTGCGCATAATTGTTTTCCTTTTTATATAAATTTTCCATCAATGTGTAAAAACGCATTTTAGAGGGAAGTGTTACAATCAAGAAAACGGTTAAGACAACTACAACTCCATCTTCAATGTATAAATGTATATAATATATATTGACTGCAAAGACAGATTTAAATTTATATATAAGGGAAAACAATTACGCGCACAGAAAATAAAGTAATATTTTGCACTAATTACATGTATGTGCACTTCTACCGATTACTTTACAATGTATTTTTTACTAGAGACAAACAGCTAAGGAATCTATGTAAATAAAATATAATTCCTCGCAAATAAAATAAGACCTACTTATCATTTTATTGTTTGTTTGATCATTCGGTCAAGAGAATTTTTTAATGAAACATCAGCGACAAGAACCTGAAAAAGAATGGTAGACGAAATGAAAGCATGAGGGAGTTATAAAATCAAACTCATTTGTTTAAAAGTATGTTAAGTGAATATTCAAAATAATAATTGTATTCAATTAAGAAAAAAAAAAACATATCTACACTAATTCTTTAAAAAACAAAAATGCAGAGAGGCCTTTATGGCGACGCAACCAAAATATTTTTTTTCATCCTTGTTATACAGTGTTTGTTGATATGCTCGATTTATTTCCAAGTTATTGAACGATAAGGCGATGGTGTACAAAATAAGATAATAAATAGACAACTAAAATTATTCTATTCTAAAAATTGAAAGTAAGTTCATACAGAAAGTAAATTAAAAAGATATAGTAAATAAGACAACTAGTAACATGTATTAACGAAAATACAGCCGTAAAAAGGAAAATATGTTTAACAGCTTTAACTTTAAAACAACTTGTTCAAAAATGCTTGCGAGACCGTCCATCCATTTATATAAAATAAAGAGATTATAATAAAGAAAGAAACGACTTTATTAAGTAGTCAATCATAAACTAAAGCGAACCCACTTAATTTACATATCGTTCACCAAAGCGTTCACCAAAGCGTACAGTTCACAAAACGAACCGTTCCGTGCAAGAAGCGTTCACAAAACGTAAATGAAACGAACCGTGCAAGTGTTGTAGTAGCACGTTTTAGGGTCTGTATATACATACATATATATATATATATATATATATATATATATATATATATATATATATATATATATATATATATATATATATATATATATATTGGATTTTTTTTTTATTCTACACGGAGCAAATAAATCAAATTTTACAGGGGGTGCTTACTCCTCCATGGCACCTGATCCACCTCTGTGTATGAAAAATGCAATTTTGAGCTGCAGGCTAAGTTTTGTGAGCTGGGCATCACCCAGCAGGCCAAAATCTTGAAGATTTTTTACCATTTTATGTCAACAAGAATTCTACTTGAAATGCATGTAAGGTGTTTTCCCAAACATTAGTTTGCATACTGGTTTTGATTGACAGTTATTGCAATCAAGAATCGTCATAGCGCAGTCGTTAAAAATTTCTATATTTAAGCCATCTTTTATTCAATTTCTTGACTTGAACCCGTTCCTTTGCGAACACACACACACACACACAGAGAGAGAGAGAGAGAGAGAGAGAGAGAGAGAGAGAGAGAGAGAGACAGAGAGAGAGAGAGAGAGAGTCTTCAAGCAGCTGTTTCCGATTCCAAGTATTTGTCACAGTTTTGTCCGCTACAGAAAATGAATTTCAGAGTCTCAGTTGTAAAAACAAAACAGCTCTGGTCAATAAAAGCAATAAATGTTTATTTTTAAATGATTTCGACATGCACAATATATCAAAAGTTCCATATTATCATCTCACAAAATCATAAATATAAACACTGTCGTTTGAAATATGAAATTGCAAGCAAGATAGGACTTTCAGTGCACTGACAAAAGTCATACAAACGCATCGGAGGTTGATTCAAGCATTCCTTAGTAGACTTTCTCTGAAAGAAAGTAAATAAAGATAAAATTATTCTGGATCCTGATCTAATAAATTTACAATAACTTTATTATCAAAAATAGAGATTGGAATTCAGTGTCTGTTTATCAAAAATAGAATTCTACTTACTGCTATATCTACCTCCTGTCGGATAGCCTAGTCTTCCACCCAGAAGGCTGCCTCCGCCCAGTCCTCCTCTGAGTCCTCCTCCCAGTCCATATCCACCATATCCTCCAAGTCCATATCCACCATATCCACCTAGGCCATTTAATCCACCATATCCTCCTAGGCCATATCCACCTAGGCTATTTAATCCACCATATCCTCCCAGGCCATATCCAAGGTTACCCAATCCTCCATATCCTCCCAGGCCATATCCAAGGTTACCCAATCCTCCATATCCTCCTAGACCATATCCACCGTATCCTCCATATCCCCCTAAACCACTTAACCCTCCTAATCCAAGACCGCTTCCTAGTCCTCCTAATCCAAGTCCGCTACCTAGCCCTCCTAGTCTATATCCATAGGGATAGGAACCAGTGTTGTAGCTGTTGTAATAGCTATAACCTGAACCCAATCCAGAACCAAGTCCACCAAGGTTTCCCAGACCAGAACCAAGTCCACCAATAGCTCCTAGTCCAAGACCAGAACCTAGACCATATCCGCCGTAGTTATCATATCCACCGTAACCGTAATTAAAGGCTGAAGACAGCCCACATACAACTCCCAATATAACAAGAGCCAACATGGTTCAACTACAAATGATGTTCAAAAGTAATGAATTTTTTCTTTATCATTTTTCAGTCACTTTATCTTTTTGAAAATTTGTCTTTATAGATCGCTTTGATGTTTGTGTATACTAATATGAATAGATACCTTACCTTGGAACTTTGCGTTGATGTATACTGCTGTACCTCCGAAGTCTTGAATGAAAGTTCCAAGTTGGTTCCTTCTATTTATACTGTCCAATAATGTTTCTGTGGTTTTCGGTGACATTTGTTGATTAATAAGTTGATTAAAAAACAGGCATAATTTTTTCTGTATACGACCTAAAAACAGGTGTTTATTGTGTTTGAACGACTACAATTTATCAATCATTATGATGTTAATTAAATTTATATAAATTACGTCGTCATTATGAAAAAAGTCCACGTGATTTAACATGACGTGCATTTTATAATCTAACGTTATATGATTGTGCGTATATTTAAGATTTTCATAATTAACACTTAGTAATATAAAGAGAAAAAAATGCATTTAGATGGGGGATCTTTCTTAGAGTCCAGAATCTCTTTATGAGAGAGAGAGAGAGAGAGAGAGAAAGAGAGAGAGAGAGAGAGAGAGAGAGAGAGAGAGCAGTTATGTTATTGACCATTAATATAACATGAAAGTTTTCGTCCTTAACTTTGTCGTTTAAAAACTTGTATTTTCAAACATCGTTTCTCTCATCAACATCCCTTTCTTTAAGAAGTTCGTGTATTTGAAGAGGAGGGAGGGATACGAAGCTTGTGGGAATTTGAGAGAGTTTTTATATTTTTTCTCACAGATACCAGGATAGAACTACTGGTATATATTTTTTTTAATAAAATTCAATTTGTGATATCTATATACGAAAGCTTATAGGTTCTTAATTTTCTTGACACAACTTTTTGTTTTATTGCATGAGCTACTTTTTTTCAAAGTGCAAGAATTATTCTATTTAATAATATTACAATTGCATGTGTCATATAACACACTTTGGTGTCTTAGAAACGGTAAAAGGTCTTTGACTTCCAAAATATTCCCTCAATATTACGCTAAATTAAAATAAATAACGATTGGATGTACACATTTCGATTATTTCTCCCAATCGTTGACCTTGAAAATGTGTCCAGAACTTGTATGTCATCATGTCATGCGACATATACACGGAAATTAATTTATTTGTTAACAACGAACAAATGAAGTTTATATCTAAAACGTGCATGAATGAAAAGTTATTGTTTGTAAAAATTCCGAAGTATTTTCTCAGGTGAGAGAGAGAGAGAGAGAGAGAGAGAGAGAGAGTTTTCAGTTACGTTGTCCTTAACACCTTCCTTATTGTAAGCACGTAAGAGGAAGGTCCGTTTTGTCGTGTTTATGATCTTGTATTATAGTATGAACTACACGCAGTAATAATAAGTTGAAATTCTACTTATTATTACCAACACTGAAAGAAAAATACATGTATTTATTAAATTGTGTGTTTAACAAATCAAAAGTCAAAAAGTAAACTTTAACTATTTTTTTGATGAATTGACAATTATTTGTGATTATGTTTTAATTTGGTGAATATTCACAATATTTCTGATGGATAATTCTTATGTTTCTCCAAAGCAATGCTGTATGCTAAATCCATATATTACGTTTTGCTTGATCAAATATTTTCAAATCAAAGTTTTCACAATGGATATTATTTCTTTCAATTAAGGAAAATAAAATATACATAAATTGAAATTGTTAGGAAGCTAAATATCTTTGACAAATTGATATTTGTTAAAAACATTATATACATTTGTCACTTCTTGTCATTTTATTGATAACTGTGGTGATCAACGTATCTTGAAATTTTATTTTCTTTAAGACAAGATTCAGAACACTCGGAGAAGGTCTGCTCATATTAACTGTTATAGTAAAGTTATTATGTGAAACAACAGGTAAGTTTTTTTTAATGTATCGGAATCTTTCCTTTAATTAATGCTATGGTAAGTTAGTTGAAGGGGGTATATTGAATATTTGGTCCATCTCCTCCTGATTTTTTTTTTGGATAAATATAAAATGAGAATTTTTAAGGACAAACAATTTTTTTTAAAAAATGAGACCCCCGCCGAATATTTTGTAGAAAAATAACCCCAGTGGCCGGTTCTCTATATGTGAACTCTATAAGAAATTGGCCCCCGTTGAAAAATCTTCCCTATCACAACAGAGTGACACAAAATTCAAAGTTTTGATTGATGCCAAGGTTTGGGTCTCGATGTTTAATTCCTTTCTTGGTAAGAGCTGTTATCTCAACCTTCATGTACCATTTCATATTTGGATGGTTTACTGATTATAGACGTTTGTGGCCAACCGACAACTAAATTATGACAAACTTGATGATTTCAGCTTTTCCATTGTCATTTTCTCCTTATAAATGTAGTAATACACATGTGGAGTTTATGTCTCCCAACTTATTTGGAACGCCAGAGCTTGCTCTGAGAATGATCATCTTTTAGGCAAAGGCTGAATACTGTCAAATACGTTGATTCCGCAAGACTTATAACAGCCTCGATGAAATATGCATTTCGAAAATGCCTTGGTTTAATGACCTTGTTTGCGAACACATTTATTTTTTTTCAATTTTTTATGTTATAAGGTTTTACACTATTGTTATTTTAGAATTTTGATAACTTTAACAAGTAAACAATAATCCATAGAAAACATAACGTTTTAAAAACCGAATTTAATGCAAAAGACGTTGAAGCCTAGGAAAAAAGGTATATTTGTTTGGACGAATTAGATATTTGTTCTGAAAAATAAGATATCTGTTCTGACAAATAAAATATTTATTCTAACGAATTTGTTCTTCGTTCGTCCGAACAAGATATTTATTTGTAGACAAATAAGTTCTTCCTTCGAACGATTTAAATTTACGTTAGAGGAAAGATGATTAAATTGTATTTGTTCGGAAGATCTGGATAAAACTATGCTCTTCCTTTAAATGAATTACATATTTGATGTTAAAATTCTCTTATTTGCACAAAATTTATCATTTTTCTGATAAAGGAGACCATCAGAAAAAATCAAAGTACATTTAGAGGGAATAGGAGTCAAGTTTTTTTTTTTCATTGACGCCAATTAGTGACACTGAAAGTTTGCTTGCAGTTTCGGTTAAAATTGTTTGCATCTCCACTTTTTTAAATGACAATTTTTTTACAGTGTTTAAAACATTTAATATTCTTCTTATTCAAATTGTATTCAGTTGGTTTTTTAAGATTTTGCCATATACACGTAGTGTCTCAGTTCTTCAATGAAATATGAAGATAACAAACAGCAATCAAACTCAGAAGTCAATTGAAACAATACAAATTGTGAGCAGAGCAAACATAGATCCCTAACAAATATTAGTGGAGGGGTCAGGTGCCATAGAAGAGTAAGCATTCCCTTCGACCGGTCACACCCGTTGTGTGCTCGTTATCACGATCTGGTAAACAGGAAAATCTGTAGACAATTCCGTTCTTTTTTTAGCCAAAAAGAAAAAAATGCATTTATAATAAAATCTTCAAGGGGTCGTTATATTCTACAGGAGTCATTTTTCTTCAGATAGGGGAGACCTAAATAACCGATGTCCCGTGCCACGGTAGGGTTGACACGATAAAGAACCCTCACTGCTCAATGACCCTGGGTAAAGAGTATAGTTCTTCACCGGCATTTGGTGACGTCTCTCTTGGGATGAGTGAAAATTTTTCGAATGGGAATGTAACAACACACAATCAATTCTTCAGATAAGTATGCAGATTTAAATATGATAAATCTCTCTACAGGCAAAAGGATGGATCATTTTTCGACCTTAAATAACCTTTTTAAAGCTCCATTATCCCTTTTCATCTCAGTCTTGCTTTTTCTTTCGTTTTATTACCATATTTTTCACTTTTTTAGATACTATGGCGCCTTCTCTATTCACCACTTACAAACATAAGAGAACAAGGAGAAAGTATAGTAAGATATATAACTTTTAAAATTGTTAAATTTTTACAGAAGTTGAGCTGCTAAGAGTACTTAGTAGTACCAATTATTTCTTTTATTAAAAAGTGGACATTGAAAATGGGACTGATGACCCATCGTGACCTAGTTTGTCCTTCTGAATGTTCGTGTAATTCATATCATTCTGTGGTTAACCGAACATTGTGTAACATTGACATTAGTGTGCTCTACAAGGCATGTGACATTTAACTGGACCTAAAATAAATATGACATAAGAAAAACTTTTAATCTTCATAAGAGAATTATACATTTGATAACTCGCAACTATCATTTAGTTGCGAAAGAAAGAGAAAAAACAGCAAGACAACAACATTGTTTTGAACCACATGCACAAAAGCCTTCGAGCACTGGAGAGGAGGCATATTAATTTAATATTCTCACCCAAAGATGCTTTTGTCACCATAGTCATTCTATCAGTTTCAATCATGTATTTGAATACATACGCTAAGGATATCACATTAATACCATATGAGTCCAGTTATGGAAACTGACAATCCTAGAGCTTAAAATTAGAATGCATGATTTAGTGGCAGTTTCTGAATAAAATCTAAAAAATAATGAAAGGTTGTCTACCTACGAAAGAGAAGCATGGTGGAAGATATGTAATTCAATGGAAATCATGAAAGTGCATGTGTTTGACAACGACACAAGGCATACACATGTAAATTAGCAGCATATCCAGTGTGTATAAATTATTGTGCATATGAAAACAGATGCATTAAATGCTGATGATATAACATTGTACAGCTGTAGATTAAATAAATGCCTTTGTCTTATTTTTTAATCTCACCGCTGGAGCCAATGCCCTTACCATAAAGATATTATGAGACCTGATTCCAACAGAATGGCATCAAAACGTGGTATTTCTATTAAATGTCAGTTTCAATCAAAAGAGAATTAATATACTGTAAATCAATATTCCAAAATCTCCGCGGCCATTGTAGTAAAGAATAATAACCCCAGTAGAAAAATGATCAGGTAACAATT